AATATATCACAAACATTTTTACATAACAATTAAAATTTTTATAAATGTAATAATCAATATATACATAATAATAAGTATTATAATTTTACAATTATAAGTAACTAAAAAAAGTATTCACAATGGTATGATAAATTTACAAGGAACAATCAATATGAATTAATATATAGCAACTACACAGAGATTATGTAGAAGCATTTACAATAAAATGTTAAACTTAAAAATAACGATCAATATGAATTACTTAATGATCAATAATAATTAACAACTAGACAAAGATTGTGTAGAAGCATTTACAATAAAATGTTAAACTTAAAAGTAACGATCAATATGAATTACTTAATGATCAATAATATATAACAACTAGACAGAAATATTGTAAAAGTTTTCATAAGTATAATGAATTTACACAAACTGACTAATATTAATTTCTTAATGACTAATATTAATATATTAAAAAGAGAAGAAAAAAGTATAGAATATAAAGTATATACTAAAGATAATGGAATAGTATAATTAGAAGAAATGACAAATAATGAACAAATTTAAAAAGTTAAATCCTACAGGCATAAAATATGTACACCTAAGTCTGTTTTTACGCGGTCTTTTTGTACACGGTTTTGATATAACACGGTTTGAAAATTGAATATTTTTAATTTTATTACACGATTTTATTCCATTTAGCACGATTTGAAATTTTATGTACTTAATTTTTTTTTGTCAAATTTAATTTTTGCGAAGTATGTTCATATCACAAAAAAGTATTTATGAAAGAAAAAAGTCTGAAACCATCGATAGCATCATTAATTACTATGATTGTGAAAATAAGCATTATATATTTGATTTAATAAAATGAACATGAATTCTTGTTTTTCACTAATTTTAATAGGTTTTAGAGATTAGGAACAAATCACCCATTTTTGTATAAGATCAATGTCTTTTTTTACACGTTTTTACCAACCAATCTACCGTGTAAAAACAGACTTAGGTGTATATTGATATCAAAATTGATAGAAAACAAATTCCAAGAATTAAAATTCATTCATGAGTCATGCTTCTTTAACATTAACTTTGCATTTGATAGTTATTTTGCTTTCCAATCAATCATTAATAAAGTTGCATTCTACAATATCTTGAATTTCTTATGATTCGATTGTGTCAATAGAACAGTGCAGCAGTCCTTTCGGCTGGAATGTTAAAATATTTCTGAGCATTTTATACTCTGTTGCAATTTATACCTTAAATTATTGCATTGTTTGTCTATCCTTCTTAACTCCCTCAACATATAATGGATGTGCTATACATTTTACATGCCCTCGGAATGAAGACACTCCTATCCTTAGTCACTAGATTCTGCTGCAATTTGTATCCCCAAGAACATCTAATAAACATAACATGTTGTAATATAATATCAAGTCGTAATAGCAAATAGTATTAAAATATTCAGAATTATTATTACCTTTTCCACTGGAGTTGCAGAGTGTTCTCCTGGTCATTATAGACATGAGAACTATTCTGTGAAATATAATTGGACATTTCTAATTTGTTCACTTGCATTTTTATATTATTTCTGAAGTTACCACAAGTTGGTGCGTTACATTTTTCCATATTAAATATCACATAAATGCTTACTTTAATACAATTAATTACAGAAACAACAAGATGAGTCGCTCCTATTAATAATTTATGTTTTGTGTAGTGGCGTTCCTTGTACCACGTGAGCTCGTGACTCTTTTTGACATAATCTCATAGGTTAAGTAAATCAAAAATCTTAGACAATATATCATACATTTAAATATATTTTAAAAAGGTTAAATTAAGTTCACTAGTAATTCGAAATGTCGAACTCGTGTATAGAAATAGTTGACGACATAGAAGATCTTATATCATCGCAGGATATATCTCCAAAAGAAAGATACAGTAACAAAAAATATGTCACTGTACGGGTTAAAAAACAACAAAAGGAGGACAAAACGCCGATCGAAAAAGTAATCCTAGAAAGTGTTGTCCCAGGTATTTATGATTAGATAGTTGTTCGTTTTTAACTCTTATTTTGACTGATTCACTTCAGTAAGTAACTAAAGTTCCCAAATTGTTGCTTCTCTTAAACTAGATTTTCAAATAATTATTTTCTTATATAAGATTCATAACAATGAGAATTTTTGTAATAGAATTACATTAAATTGCTAAATAGCTAATGAGCATTACTATTTATTTAGGAACTCAAACTATTTATGTGAAAACATGGGGTTGTGCGCATAATAATTCTGACTCGGAGTATATGGCTGGACAATTAGCTGCTACGGGTTACCATCTAACAGATAAAAAAGAAAATGCTGATTTATGGCTATTAAACAGTTGTACAGTAAAGAATCCTTCGGAAGATACATTCAGGTTGAGCTTCATTAGCCTTTTTTATAATAATATAATTTACATTCATTATTTTGTAGAAATTATATAGAAGATGGAAAAGCGAATGGTAAACATATAGTACTTGCTGGATGTGTTCCGCAGGGCGCTCCAAAGTCTTCATGGATGAATAATTTATCTATGGTTGGCGTGCAGCAAATCGACAGAGTCAATGAGGTGGTGGAAGAAACATTGAAAGGTAATTTGGTTTAATAAAACGTTTTGCCAGTTATACTTCATGAAAGGCTATGAAAAATATTTATTAAACGGTCAATCTTGATTTTTTAAACAATTGTTGAACACAATTTTGTTATTCATTAAAATCAATTCCAACTTCCAATCAAGAATGCATTTGTAGAACATTATTTGTAATACTACTATTTAAATTGAAACACATGTTAAGATATAAAACAAATTAAATTAATTATTATTATTAATTAAATTTATTGGCTTTATGTGAATCATAGAATGAAATTTTTAATATGAACTGGGGTTGTTTTGAAATAAAACATTGTTATAATATTATATTTATTAATATAATTTTAGGACATACTGTTCGATTGCTAGGCCAAAAAAAAATTAATGGAAAAAGAGCCGGCGGAGCATCACTATCCTTGCCAAAAGTACGCAAAAATCCTTTAATTGAAATTATAGCCATAAATACAGGCTGTCTGAACCAATGTACATATTGTAAAACCAAACATGCAAGAGGAGACTTGGCAAGCTATCCTCCTGAAGAAATAGTTGAAAGAGCAAAACAAGCATTTTCAGAAGGTGTTTGTGAAATATGGTTAACATCAGAAGACACAGGTAATGAATATTATATGAAAATATGAGTTTCGTTCCATGTAAACTTATTGAATTTTCTCAGGAACTTATGGCAGAGATATTGGTACAGATCTTCCAACGCTTTTATGGAAATTAGTAGAGGTCATACCTAATGGTTGTAGATTAAGGCTTGGAATGACAAATCCACCTTATATTTTGGAACACCTAGAGGTTAGCATAAACCAATGTCATAAAACAAGCCTAATTTTTTTATATTAAAAAATAAAATTCTATTTTTGTTAAACATAGGAAATGGCAAAAATATTGAATCATGATAAGGTTTATGGATTTTTGCATCTGCCAGTTCAATCAGGGTCCGATTCTGTGCTGGGTGAGATGAAGCGGGAATATTTTAGGAAAGATTTTGAACATGTTGTTGATTTCCTTCGTGAAAGGTTACTTAATATGTTTATCAATGAAGTAATTGCTGAATTACTAAATTACTAATATAGATATTTGTTACAGGGTATCCGGAATTACCATTGCCACAGATATTATATGTGGATTTCCTACTGAAACAGAAAAGGACTTTGAGGAAACTATGGAATTATGTGCAAAATACAAATTCCCAAGTCTTTTTATTAATCAATTCTATCCAAGACCTGGTACACCTGCAGCAAATATGCAGCGCATACCTGCAAATGAGGTTAAGAAAAGAACAAAAAAATTGACGAATTTATTCAATACATACGAGCCATATTCACACAAACTTGGTGAAGTTCAAGAAGTGTTAGTGACGGAAGTTTCTCACGATAACAAGCATTATGTTGGCCATAATAATTATTATGAACAAGTGTTGATACCAATGGATAAAAAATATTTAGGAAAATTGGTGACTGTGAGAATAATATCAGCATCTAAATTTTCAATGTCGGCAGAAGTTATTAATGATGTGGAAATTAAAAATGTTACCTTGACAAATCCCTTAGAGAAAGGAGCAGTATCCGGGCTTGAACTAAAATTGGAAAGTAATCATCAACTATTTTTCTATATGTTAATAACACTTTGTTTAGCTATAACATACAGATTAATTTGGTTCTTACTTTAGTACATCAAAAGTTATTGTTTTATTTGACAAATATATGTAAATAGTTTAATTATTTGACAATGAGAAAACTTTTAATATTTGTGTATATATAAATTTAAATAAATTGAGTTGAATTTAGTTTTTTTGGCAATATTAAGTTATTCAAAATCACAGGAAAGGTAGTTAATAGAAATGTAATATCACATTAACTAAAGATTCTACTAAAATTTTTATATGCAAGTCCTTATGATTTCTCAATTTGCTTTTATAAAATGAACAAATTAAATTTAATTGTTTTAAACGGTTCCAATTATGATGTTGAAAGTACAAAAATCTCATCCTTAGGTCCCTCCTTTTTTTATAAACTTTCATAAAATTAATGGTTTTGGTAACAAATTTTTACTTTTTCACTACACAATGTTATGGTAAAATATATTTGTGAAAAACATATCCATTCATCGCTACATTAAAGCAAACTGAAAATCTAAATGACTTAAAAACAAATATTTTTCTATCATTTGATATATTTATATCATATTGGCTCAAAGCAAAAAGCAATGGGGCATTTAATTCTAAATTTGGTACAAAATAAAGTTCAATGCAATCCATATGTTGTGTTGAGCTTCGATCAAGAAATCCAATTGTAATAAGAAACTTAAAAGTTGCTTTATTTTACTGCTAAATGGATATGATATTTTCACATATTGATTACTAATTTAAATATAAAAAATCTGCTTGGTTGTGATTTATTATATATTTGAAATGTATTATTATTTTATTATGACATATTACCTCTATTTCCATTCAAAATTACTATGTATTTGATTGTTCTGATTCATTTTTTGTTATTCTGCCTTTGTTTATATTTCCTTTAGTATCTATAGAAAAATTATAATCTACAACTTGTGTCAGTGCTGCTTCAATAGCTGCATCAATATTATGTTTAGTTATAAAAGTTTTACTTTCCTCCTGTGAAAATAAAATTTAATATATAGGCCTTGTGCATAACTATTAACTATATATAAGTGCCAAAAAAACAGTCTTTCTAACCATTTTTTCATCTTTGCATTCTAGATTAATACTTGGTATTATTTGGAGGGCTAAAATCATGGGCATGACCAAGTAGCAATTTTTTTGAGAAACCCGCCCCTCCCCCTGGCCTACTTTATCACATTTTAGAATTAAAAGTTTTGGATTACAGTTTACAGTTGTACTTCGCCTTACGAGCGACTCGTCATACGCGTCTTTCGAGATACGAGCAGCCGAAGGTGCGGCTCGTTTGCTTCTTTACACGAGCAAAATTCGTGATAGTGGTCCAAATGAAACAGATTCATCTATTAGCAATTGTAATTTTTTTTTTTTTGTATTTCAAAAATAATTCAGATTTTAATTGTAATTCTGACTTAAGTTCTAATATACTTTAAACAAATATTTTCAACTTTGCAATTAAGTTTATATAATTTTTATGAATATTAGATAATGTTACAGTATTTATAACAATGTGTTTGAAAACATTTAATATTCCTCAAACACTTTGTTATTGTACGGGAACTTTCAGCAATTTGCCTTAAAGCATGATGCCATACACTACTAGTTATTCAGAAATTTGCTATTTTTGCAGTATATGTATTTGATCTTAGCAATAAATGTTTCATTTAATATTATTATTAATAAAAACACCGCTGTAACGAATTAAATTCAATGTATGTAAATAGAAAAAATTGCTTTGAGATACAAACAATACGGCATGCGAGCATGCTTACAGAACGAATGAAGCTCCTAATGCAAGGTACCTCTGTATTTTTAATTCTCAAAACTTTGCCTTTTTCAAGGCATTTCAAAAAATGCATAAAGCTCACATAACTAGACCAGAACACCCCCTTAAATATATGTGTGAAATGAGTAAATTCAATTCCTTACCTTAAGTTTTAAAACTTTTTCTTCAACTTCCATTAGTCTTTGTAATTTCAAAGCATTTTTCTGTTCAATATCTTCATTGATTAATTGTTTCTTCTTTAATGCTTCATTTTCTAGTCTCTTATTTCTTATTTCTGCAACTTTCTTATTCCACTCATCATTAATTTTCATGCATTGTGCAAAATCTTCTAGTTCTTCCTCTGGTGTCATATGAAATCGATTTTCACCAATACTCTCTCTTCCAACTTCTGCTATTAAATACTTTCTGTAGAATTAAAGAATCGAGATAAGTAAACAGAGATAGAAAACACAAGCCGAAAAAGTATTTAGAATTAAAAAACTATATGAGTTCTTACAATATAATTTAAGTTGGGATTAATTAATAAGTGTTATAATGCTGGAATTTCTGGTAGTCCAATTATTTAAGATCGAGATACCCAGCTGTAAGTCTGTAAATACTTGTATATTGAAACCCTAAAGTTGTCACAAAACCTACATATGGTAGGGTGTCAATACCATATGTAGGTTTTGAGACAACTTTAGGGTGTCAATATACAAGTATTTACAGATTTTTTTTTTGTTTTAATTTATTTATTTATTTGATATAATTCATACATACTGTATCTCAGTCAGACAATTGTTCTGGTATGAGAGATCACAGCAATTATAACAAAAATAAAATCTAAATTTTATGTAACAGACTTACATTAAGACATCTATATATTTTTACTTATTACTATTATACACACATATATACACAGAACGCTTGCGTACATACATACATACTTATACTTAATTGTAATTAATATTTTATTAAACAGAAGTAATAAAGTATTTAAAATAAGGAATTTTATCTCATTTATTTCATTTATCTCTTATGTAATTTTTCAATTTAATTTTGAAATTGTTTAGGTCCGTCATTGTCTTTAGTTCGTCAGGTAGTTTATTGTAAAGGCTGCTTGCACTTCTCAGAGGACTTGCAAGTCCTTTACTCGATTTAGCATGTTTCATGTGAAAGTTTCGGTTTTGTCTCGATTGATGGTCGTGTATAACCTGGTTTGTCTCTATTGTGGTGCAATTTTGAATATTAGTTTCAATTCAATTTTTCTATTTCTATTGTTTTGTGTAGTGGTATGTTCTTAGTCTTTTGTAGAAGTTCTTTTGTCGGGATGAGGTAGGGATATTTGTAAGTTGATTTTATTGCTTTATTTATCATTTTTTGTAGTGTCTTTATATTTTTATTTGTTGTTTGACTCCAAATCGTGATGCCGTACGTATATTGAAAGTGTATTGAGGGTGTCAATACCATATGTAGGTTTTGAAACAACTTTAGAGTTTCAATATACAAGTATTTACATATTTACAGCTGGGTATCTCGAAATTCCGAGGTGAACTTACTATAATGACTGGACTATCGATAAAATGATCTTTTACTTACCGAATAGCTCGTACTTGTGTATGGTAATTGTTGTGTAGCCTCTGTAATTCGAGTTTTTCCTCTAATGGTACATTGGGGCGCTCAGGCACTTTAAACATTTTACTTTTAGCTACGGGCAACCATCTTGGCTTCCTGCGCCAACGAACGCATTGATAATTTATTAAACAATTATTAATATTTAAGGATAAACGAGTTAAATGTGATTGCAGCATCTTTATATATTTACGTTTATAATATTCGTATATAATTGACAATACGAATGTAAGGTTAGGTGTTAGATATCCATCATTTCACATAACCATAGATAAAACAAGAGTATATAAAGGTGCGTCCACACCTAACGAACGAACATGAACGAACATGTCGAACAAAAAAATACAAAGAAGAACGAACAGGAACACGAACGAACGCGAAAAATTCCAAACGAACTTGAACAAACGCTTAAAAGCAGTGAGCGCTTGAATTTTCGTTGTTCGTAGATGTCAGGGCTTTTTCACTTAGAACAAAATCCTCGTTCAGAAGGAATACTTAGGGGTCCATTTGTAGTCGCAGATTTGGCGCTAGTGAGCCGATGAAAAAGTATTTTCAAATGTTTTATATTGGTTACTAAGAAACGTCAGTGTTATTTTTGTATAAGTTTACAAAATGGCGATTCTTCTTCGTTTGTGTTTGTATATTTGTTAATAAAGATTTCATCAGGAATTGCTCTCAAATGCATAGCCCTTTGACAATATGAATAAAACAGCTTCAAACTCATATGGAGGACATAATTACTACAATACTACGTAGTGCATTGACATATTAGTCTAATCATAATACACTTTAAGGAAAGAGATCAGTTCTAGGAAATTGTGTAAGAAATCAAATATACGCTTCTACAAGAAAGACATAATACACAAATAGAAAGCTGTTCCAGCTGTTTAATATTGGATTACCACTTCACGCAGATCTGAATATACTTGAGAAAAAATCAAATTTTGCACAGGATGATTACTAGTTAATGAGAGTTAAGAATGACAGACGATGTAATGAACTAACACTATAATGCATTATTCACTAAATTTCACTAAATATTTATATTAATAAGTAGAAAAAAGTGTAGAAGTTATTCCAGTAGATTAGATGTGATATCTATTATATATAAACCAGTGTATTGCAGTGTATTTGTTGATTTATATTTCGATTTGATTGTATATTTATTATAATATAATATTATCTAGTATATTTTTGTTATTATTGTATCATTACAAAACATAATAGGATTGTAATACCGAATTTAGTTTCAAATACCCGTGTATTAAAATTCATTAATTTTCATTTCAAATTTTGCGCCATTAATTTGAGTGCCAAAAGCAGCGCCACCACGTCGAGCGGAGGACCCTTTAAGTATTCCTTCTGAACGTAAAAATCGGGCGAGAGAAGCGTCTATATGAATACGGGGTATTCTAATATTGTCTAGGGTAGATGTTCCGTGAAACGTCAGTTTTATTATTGATATGGATGTAAGCTTTAATCATACGGCATTTTCACTGGTTTTTGTGTGATTTTTGTTCGTGTATATTTTGTAAATATACTGTAAATAAATTATTCAATTAATTTCACTCAGTTTTTATATTTAATATTTATATTTTGAGTCGTTTTCTTTCCTCAGCATTCATATTCGGAGCAAGCTGAACATTCCAGGCTTGAGCTAACTATACTCAATTTTCATACTCTCATCCTCAACATATATGTTGAATGTCTATGTATGATAACAAGTTTAATATTTACTTGTAAAGACTGCAATCATACTCTTCTTTTATCTATGACTGCAATTTCTTCTTTACTGCAGCTTCTGACATCCCAAACGTTTTGCCTACACTTTCCCAAGCATCGTTTTTTTTTTCTAATAATTTTATAAAAAGGGTCTTTAGTCTCCCATATTATAGGAAACTTTTCTATTTCATTTATGAATGATAAAATTACGTCATTTGACCATTCCATAATTTATTCAAAATTTTCAAACTGTACACAATAATTAAAAGTAAATATTATTAAAATTTTCAAACATTAAAATTATTAACATTATTATTGAATTATTAAAAAATTATTATTAAATTATTAAAATTATTAAAACAAAAATGTTCGTTTGCGTTCGTTGTGACGTCCACACTGCACATACGAGTTCAAACATGAACGAACAATTCCCTTTGATGTACCGACAAGTTGCGGAACATTGCTCGCCATGTTTGTTTATGTTCGTTCGTGATCGTCGTGGCGTCCACACTATGCTGTTGCCGTTCGTTCTGGTACGTTCTTTTATGTTCGTTCGTGTTCGTTCGTTAGGTGTGGCGCAGAAGAAGAAGAAGAAGAAGAGCCCATCTGAACATAATCTTATTACTAGATGGATTCGCCATCTGTTAGAAATGACGAAAACTATTATTTAAATTGTTTTTTAACTTCCCGAAGGAGAAAAGTTTATGTTTTCATCAAAAAATCCGATTCGCTAATTTTATGTTTTCTCGACATTTCAAGCCATTCTGAATCGAATGAGACCAAATTTGAAAAAAGTATGTGTGTGTGTGCGCGTGTATGTGAACAGATTTTTTGCCGTAAATCGACGTTTTCTCAAAAACGGTTGAGCCGATTTCAAAAATTTAAAAGCCATTCGATGTATTTCGATGAGGAGTAGCGTTTCTGAGTTTTGTGTGACGATCGGCCGAGCCGTTTCTTTTTAAATCGCAGAAAAGTGAAAAATTTTTCGTCCACGTTTTAGCCCGCAATTTTTAATCGATTTTGAAAATTCAAAAACCGTTCGAAAGATATTGGTTGGGAACCGTGCTGATTAATTTTTAGTAAAGATCGGCCAAGCCGTTTTCTTGTAATAAAGTTTTTTTAAAAAAAATTCAACGATTTTTATTATTATTTTTTGACGGTAGATACCATAGTCTTCTAGATCATACTAAAGTATTACAGCCCTACGACAACTCGTTTAGCTTTAAAAATTCTTCAAAGTTTGCAAAAATTAGTATCGTTCTTTTGGCATTTGTCAAAATTAGACCTTTGATCGACGTTTTCTCAGAAACGCCTGACCCGATTTCAGAAATTTAAAATCCATTTGATGTATCTCAATGAGAACTATCGTTTGTCAGTTATGTGCAACGATCTGCCAAGCCGTTTCTTTGTAATTTGAAAAAAAAGTGTTAAACTTTTCGTCCACATTTAAGCTCAAACTACCGAATCGATTTTAAAAAATCAAAAACTGTTCGTAAGATATTAGTTGGGAATGGTACTGATTAGTTTTAGGTAAAAATCTACCGAGCCGTTTTCTTGTAATTAACTGTTGAAAAAAATTTTAAGCCGATTTTTATGGAATTTTTTTTTTGGCGATATATATCATGGTCTTATAGAACTTACTGAAATATTACGGTCTTACGACAAGTAGTATAATTTTAAAAATTCATCAAAGTTTGAGAAAATGAGTAGTTTTTTTGACGTTAGCTAAAATTAAAATTAGACGATTTACTCGGTATAACAATATAGTACTTGGTCTTAATAAACATACTAAACCATTAAAATCCTACAGACACTGGTTCAAATATAATAATTGTTGATTTTTGAAAAGTTGCTTTTTGAAAATACTCTGAGTTAATGTGTTCGTTTGTTTTTAATTATGTGTAATAAATCCACTCATAAATTAATTTATTTTTTTATTGATTAAGTCGATTATTTACACATATCGGGAAGTTCATGTAACTTGCCTTAAGGCTAAATACCAATACTAACTAGTTATGATTAATATCTAAGAAGTTAAAAAAAATAAAGATTACGCAGTTTATGGTATAAAATATTTTGGCACAGATGTCACTTTAAAAGACCGTTACATTTTTACATAAGATGAAATAAACATCATTGTCTATTAGTCCGATCCTATTTATTGTTACACGATATAAAAAGGAAGTTATCAAGGAGAGAAGTACGAAATATCATCAAAAGAGCGCATACCATCCAAACACTCTAATAATAGACCTGCTGAAACAAGTACCAAGGAGAAGATTAAAAAGAAAGTGGCCGCAAGATTTAATGAATTAACAATCAATATATTTATGTAAGGAAATTCCCCACTGGGGGAATTTCTAAAAGCCCTGTACCCGTCAGCAAATAACCTCATTGAACCCAAGGTTCAGATTGGTTATAAGAATAAATAAAAAAAAAAAAAAAACGATGGGGCTTCATGCCCAGCAATAAATATAATAAAACCGTAAATTCGGTCATTGAATTCCCTAATGCTACCCATCCGAACTTGAAAATCGCGGGTTGAACTTCGATAATCACATAATCACGTATCACCATCTACTGCTTCCTAAATAAAGTCTATCAAAAGTGGTTTTGAATATGAATTCGAACTTTGGGTGATCGATAGGTATATTTCAAAACGAATGGTTTTTAGATAAATCTTATCACATGACAAACATTTTAAAATCTCTATTACTTTGACAAATATGTCTATTATATTACTATTACTACTGGCAGGTTATTAGCCGTTTGCGAATTATGACGTATCGCCACGCGCATGCCTGAATGACGTTTAGCAACACGCGTTTGGTCAAGGACAAGTCTTATTAGAAAATTCGATTCGAAACATGTCATAATGAGATATTATTTATAACTGTGATCTTGGTTAGGCTTTAGAGTTGTTACATTCTTTTTGTTTAAAGTCTTGAATAATCAGAAAATTTAGTGTTTAATTGTAAAATGATAATAACTTCATAAAATTACTGTGGTGAATTGTTTCGCTCTAGCCAACCAATATTAATATAAAGGAATTTAAATATTTTGTATAAAATATTTGTTAACTACATTGTAATTTATTGCATTTATTGCATACGAGATTTTTTTATTTAAAAAAAATGTAAGTAGTTCGCTGAATATATTGATGTATATTCTATTATAATATTGAAGTGATATTGTGTACAATAAAAAAAAACTGGTGGCATGTTTAAGTGAAAATGTTTGATCAATATATACACAGTTAGTGCCAAACTATTTTCAATATATTTATGAATTTATTCATAAAAGATGAAAAAATCAAATTTTTTTTTAATAAAATTTAAATTTTATAATTACAGTAGAATCTTACTAACCCGACACTTCGATAAACCGACACCTCCGATACCCTTGCAACCGATTTTTTTTTTTTTTGAAATTTTTGAATTAACGTTATTTCCAATATCATATGTTAAAAATTATTACTTTTGCAATATAATCCAGTAATCCGAAAATTTCAGTAATCCGACAACCCCTCCGGTTTTTAATAGTGTC